TTTATTTAGTCTGTATCATTTGTTATCGTGGTATTTAAAGTCATCAACGAGCTTCAGTAGTAAATCCACTAGGTGGCAGTATTGTAACGAATATTACATATGAGAAACAGCTCTGCAGTGAAATGCACCACAATAACACAGCTTGTAATGTACATATAGTACAATACTGGAGATTGTATTTGAAGTCTATAATATTGTTGTAGTGTATTATATTGTGACACATTTAATGACTTATTTTAATTCTTTATGCAAATCAAATTGTTGAATTTAGTTTTTTGTCCAGTTTACATCAATTGGGGTCACATGTAAGATTCATATGAGATTTTGTAATGTATTTGACAATAATATCACTTGAAAATGTATTGGTTGTTTTTCCAATAGAAGTAAGTACAATTATATTGCACCTTTCAGAACTTAGGTTACAATGATACAACATTAAAGGTACTTTAAACAACATTACAACAAGATAGTAGCAGTTTAAAACACACAAAACTGTCAGTACACACTGGGATAATATTCACTTATTAATAGAGAAAACAGGCTCAGCTTTTTACGTTTCACTTGGTGAACTGTTCAGGGTGTAGACCCCACCCGAAGAGGGATAAGCAGTATTGGATAAAAAGATGGATTATGGATATATAACACTCAATATATGCAATTAGCCCCTGAAACATTGTGTCTATATCTGTAAATATGTTAAAAATGTGCTGAAAATACAGTTGAGTCTGGATGAGACAGATAAGAGAAGAAGGGGAAGAGACAGGCAGGAAAGAATGAACTGTGAGAGCGAGGAAAGAAAAGAAAGCAGTCATGTGTTTACAGCTCTCGGGAAGTGTTGTCTCGGGCATCTTACCACAGTATCTGACCGTCTTTGACAGTATTATACAAACATTTCTGTTGGCTGCTGAGCAGAATAATATTCACAGTGAGTATTAATGCAATGAGGGAAAGTTGTCGACTTGCTCGACCGTTTGTACAAACAAGTTGGTACATTTCTCGGGCCTCACTTGTCCTTCCATTTGTCAGTCTATCGCCTCCCCACTTCTGAAGTGTTGACTCTACATAATCATGTCACGTTACTCCGCTGCCTGTCAGGAGGAAGATTGAGCTTGTTGCTGAAGGTAAGGCCAATAACTGCATCGTGAGGAATATTTGTCCTTATAGATTAGAATTGTATGATTCACATTTCCCCACAGCAAATTAGAAAAATGGAAAAGAAAAAGCTCTGCACTATTAGACTAACATTAATTTCAGATAGTGGTGTGTGTCTGCTCTGTCAGGGAGTAGGAGAGATGATAATGCAGAGGGAGAATGACAGATGGGAAGAGACAGAGAGATACAGGGAGAACAGGAACAGCAGATTTGTAGTGACAGGCTGCTCAGTCGGAAGTTGTAAGATTGTTTAGCCTAAAACCTGCATCACATCCTAGGAAACCAGTTCAAACCAGAACCTAAAAAAGCAATGTCGTCTGTCTTTCAAGTAGAGAAATGTCTGTTCTATTAAGACCAGCAGAATAAAAAATGCTCCTTCTCTGCTTTTTAGTGGTACATTTAATGAAGCGTCATGGCAACAACACTGTGTGAGAGCATATCCATCATATGTGAGTCACAGAGGATCAGTAAAATCTTCCAGGCAGCTTTGAGTCAGTCGACTCCATCAGTTTTAGTTTATTGTGACAGTTTGTGACGAGTGTCAGGTATATGTTGTCACGCAAGTGTTTACTTGGATTTTGAAGACCAGTGCTGAGATTCACACAGAAAGTCTGGACTCTGGAACTGACATTAACTACTTGACTTCATGTGGATTCTTGTTCTTAACATTAATCCACTTCTATGTTTTACCCCTGAAGCTTGACTGACTCGTTAGTGGACCAGTGAATCATGCAACTGCGTCCCCCCACCCCAGACGTTTAGATTTTAATGGTGATGTCAAACTTGCAAGAAATACCACATATGTTGGACTGAATTTGTGGGAAATTAGTTTAAGATGATTCAAGGGGCATTGAGAATGTAGATAGAGTCTTGGTATTTGATATTAACCTTAATGTAAACATCATATAGCCTCAATGAACAGCTGAGTCAACCTGAAACAAAATGTGTATTATACAGTCACAAAGTGCATAATTAAATAGTTCTTGCAACATGGAAACAGAAAAAAACCCCTGAATGTTAAAGGTTTTAGTTAAATACAGCTGAACATTTCTGAATAAAAAGGTCAACAGTCACAGTTCCTGCAGACTGTCTCTAATTGAGTCAAATAAATATTTTATATTGCCCAGTATTACATATAAAACATTGTTCAGAACGGTTCCTGAAGGAAGCAGCATTTATTTAACAAGGTGCACTCAAGTACCCGACCATGGACAGCAGGGGGCGAAGTGGAAGTTAGCAAAGGAAAAACAAAATTACAAAAGTTACACTTTTTAAACTTTTTTTTTAAAGCTGTCAAAATGTTTTTGAATAAAATGAATAAACGATATTAAAAATGTGCTTTATAATAAGTCTTACACAACAAATTTAATATCAGTTCTTCACTCATTTTACCACATGAGGGGGAATTAACAAGTTAGATATAACATCTTTTTTGGAGTATTAAATACTGAATCCCTACGGTTATTATTATTATTATTATTGCTATTGTTGTTGTGCTGTTCATTGTTTTCTCCTTTTAATAAACCAAACTGATCAGTGCCTGACACAGCAGTTACATAACCACATTGCCACATGTGACCCTTCCTGCTCACAGTCAACACACACTCTGGTAGCTTTAATCATTAGACTTTTTTTCTGTGAGGATTATCTAATAAGAAATTAAGGCTAAAGTGCAAATATAATTGCAATGATGCTTTTCACGACGTATGCCCGAACATAGATTCGAAACAATTCAAACAAGTGTTGAGCCTTGGTTCAGAGGACTTTTGATTTAAGCACATATAAAGGTTATTCAAGGTCTAACAGGGAGAGAAAGGTTATCATTGTCCTTGTTTGTAAAGAGGTTCAGCAACTGCAGCAACTGCACTAGCATGCTGTTGTCAGAGGTTCTGCATTTTTTCTCAGGCAACAAGGACCTCTTGCAAGATAGAACATATGCTAGAGACCCCCTCATGTATTTCCCTAAGGATAATTTGACATCTTATTTTTAGACTCAAATGTCTTTGAAAGATACAAGACATGTATTAAAAATACAAGAGGTCAACACAAAATACCATATCATATATCGTGATAATTTTAAGGGATGAATCTGGAAACTTTTCATGGACCCTCTGGCGGTGTGCCACAGACTTTTGGTGGTTTGCTTACCCCCATTTCTCAAATGACACACACACACACAGAGTCACATTGTTGTAGTTACCTCCTTCATGCATGTCAAAACCTTTCGTTCTTCAACATCTGAATCTTTCTTCCAAACACATACTGTAAAAATAGCGTCTATTGTCAGCTCCCAAAATTTTAACACAGAATGAATGCAAGTGAGAGAAACTTTGCACAGCAAAGAGCCAACCGAGTGCAACTGCTGCATTGCACCGTGGTGGCAGTAAATCAAGTGCCTCTGTCCCTCATCTCAGAGAGGGCTTTGATGTCACTGGAATAAGCTGCGGCACGTTGAAGGAACATCAAAGACACTCACCACAGGCCGGCAACCATTCACTGCTCCACAGGAAAATGTGATTGGCAACGCCACGGGGCCTGTTATCTTCTCCAATGATTAATGCCTCATTAACCGGTCATTAATGTTATCAAATACCCTCTCAAAATGTGCACAGTAACTTCATTCAGATCAACTGAGTGAGTGGCTGCTGGAATTCGGGATGTAGAGAAGGAATTTTTAATGCCTCTTCTGTTACTTTAGGCTGAGCTCTGTCTCTCTCATTTGAAGTACTGAGCTGTCTGATCACTGATTAGGGTCCCATCGCTTGTGCGTCTGTTCTTTGATTTGAATTCTCTCAGCTCTTGTCTGTTTTTATGCCCACAATTAGATAGATGTTGTAATTTTTGCATGCATCTTTGTTGTCCTGATTTTCCAATTCTCCCCCTCTCTTCGTTAGTGAGTGTGCGGATACATGATAAGGACATACCCTTTGTTTGCTGTTTAGTGGTGTCATTTGAGGGCTGCATGTGTCCACAACCAAACGACTGTAAACGGCTTATTCTAAAAAAATGTTAACTTGTTTTCTACATAGGCTCTGAGGTTTCAGGGCCCCTGTTTTGCTCCCCCCCCCTCTTTTTACATTTTGCTATAGTGACACAAGTCTGGATGATCGATTCAGTTTCACCCAATCAGCATCATTAGTTATTTAACCCAATTATATAATTACCAAATTGACTATTTTTGTATGGTGGTGGTGGTGGACAGTCCATCTTATTTACAGGGTGGATCCAGGGGCGGGGGCCAGGGCAGGCACCTGTCTCATTTGAAATCTAATTGGCCCCTGAAATGCCCCTGTCCTCTCAGTAACCTTTAAAAAAAGAAGTCACACCACGAACAATAAATATGACAATTTGTTGAGAATGTTTAAACTTTTAAGATTTTTTGAAGTTCACAATGTGCTTGAACAATGAACAATTTTCAAAATAGATTCACTGACCTGGGGCTTTGTTCAGAGTTTAAGAGCTAACAATGAACAAGCAATGACTTAAATGTGCACCTCACTGAATTAAGATTTCTTGTCATTCTTTCTGCTTCATTCCTTCTACAGATTTTTATATTTTTAAATACCTTGAATGAAATACTATTTAATCTAATTCCTCTGAATACATTTAAAATATGTTCATCCAACCAAAAGCACGCGTTTATCATGACATGTATCAGTGGTGGTTGTGTTGCTTTGTTGTCGTTGCAGCAGTACAGAGAGGATCTCTGAAATCATATAGCTTGCCTGACAGAAAAAAAAACTAAATTGAATTTGAAATCATTATTAGATGAGCAACTCTCCCTGCGTTTCCTCCACGCCGGCCCATAAGAGGAGCGCAGCGCGCAGCCAATCACAGACGCGCACTGCTCAGCCCCACTAATCGTGGATTAGCTACAACCGACTGCAGTGTGTCGCTCCGGGAGGGAGGAGAGGAGAGAGGAGGTGGAGGCTGCCATTCACTACTCACTCTGTCTTATTATTAGCTCACTTTATTTTTCCTCCTCTGAGCAGCAGCGGATTTGGCGTTGCGCACAAAAAGATTGGGATCTCAGGTAAAGGTGCAGGGACGCAGCCGAGGCAAGGGACTGGTTTTCGGGGTCAATGGACGCGGCTGCTGCCGGTCAGGTTTAGATAGAACTCGATTGACGGGGCCCTTTAATTTGAAAAGCCACTCCGGTGTGTGAGAGCACCGTGCGTCGAAAGCTCCGCGATGTTCAAGACGGCCAATTACCCGACCGTGGACCCCGCGCCCACCATCATGCACGGCACTTGGTTCGCCACGGGCTGCCGGGAGAGCGCACCCGTGGCGGTGGAGAAGCCCAAGAAGAAGCCGTTCAGCCTGGTGAAGATCATGTCGCTCAGCAGCAGCAGCGGCAGCGGCGGCAGCAGCGGAAAGAAGAGGCACGGCCACTACCCGCACCACAACAACAACATGCCCTTCAACATCCACTGTCACATCGGGAAAGAGATTAAGCACATTTGCAGCAACTGCAGCCGCGGGAACGACACGCAGGACGGTGAGTGTACTGGAGGCTGGAGAGAGAAGCCTTGTGGTGGTGTGGCCCTTATATTAGCAGCCCTGCGGTATATGCTGCCATCTAGGAGAGGCTGCTCCATTATCCAGCCATGGCCGAGCCTCTGGGCTCCTATGTGCGCGTTTGGCTCCATCACCGCATGTGCTTGTTTGTCTGTGTGTGATCATGTCCTGTAGAAGCTGCTCGATATGTCTCTGCAGTGTCACACATTGAGCTTTAAGGCCCCCAAAAAAACAGTGATGGGCATCGTACCTGTTGTGGAGACTGGATCAGAACTTCACTCAGGGCTGGGCTCATGCTGCTCCTTGGTTTGCATCACAGAACATATGCAGATGAAGGGATTGTTGTTAGTCTTTAGTCCTTGCTTTAATAAAAGGCATGAAACTCTGCAGGCTGGTTGCACAAAGCCATTTCCAGTAAAGTGTCATTACATCATCACTCAGCCATCTTGGTGTGCAAACAAGTGTTTTTAATTAAAAGCAGCCATCAGTTGGCTGTGCTACATTGGTGAAGAATGTGGGTGGTGTGCAACAGCATGAAGATGGCACAGAAAGGCTGCACAGTGTCATGGAAATGATTAAAAACAGCCCAGATTTAATCACCTTAGTTGGAAGAGAATTTTACTTTGAAAATTGATTTCTGCCAAGGTTTTGCCAAGATTGTGTTAAATTAAATTATAATTAGAGCCGGACTAACGTGGATGTTTTATCAATAACTATAAATAATAAGAAAAAACTGACAACCAAATATGTAGAGCTAGATTAAGAAAATAATGAATGCACATTTTTTTCAGCATTGTTTATTCTGGCAAATAAAAGTCAAACATGAATGCAGATACCAGTATGTCTGCTCATATTGGGAGATTTTTATTTACCAATCAATAAATCGGTCGGGCTCGAAATATAATGGACTCAAATTGTAGATATGCTGGTTTGGTGCTCACTGCCTGGAAATGGTTCAGTCCAAATGAGGGGGGAATTCATGCTTCTTTTGTCAATACTTCAGTCATGTTCATACAAATAAGAGTCTGATGTAAGATGTTGACTTTCTTTTATTGCGATCACTAATATATCATCATTCTCTCTATCTTAAAGTGTACAGAGCTGTTGTTGCTTGGCGGTTGGCTGTCACTTCACTCAGATTTGAACTAATGTTAATCTGGACTGGCTTGAATCGACAGCGACTGTGTTGAGGTATTTATAGTGTGGACTGCTACGATGGTTTGGCTCTGAGGCACCAGAGCGGTCAAGTAATGGTCCGTGGAACACATTTCCACTGCATTACAGTCACATGATTTATCACGCTGTCCCGTGGCCCTGGGGAGGGGACTGGTCCGTAATGTGATTCATGTATATCGGCAAACATCTCAGATGTAATGTGATTATTTAAAAACAAGAGACCAGTGCATTTCCCTGACAACATGTCAAGGGTGATGATCTAATGCAACATGGTGACACAACAGACACAGTGCTAGAGGTCATTTCAGATTAACTGGAGAACCGTGGAGTTGCCATAAAAACCTTTCTCTAGATTTAGTTTTTCTTTTATTTCTTATTACATATTTTTATTTTCTGCACACTTGTATTTCTATACTTCATCGTCCATCTTTTTTATTTTTTTTTGGAAATCACATATATTGATTTGTGAAGGATTTTACACCCTGATTGGTTTTCATTCATTGAGGACGAGCTTGAGAGCCGACTGAATCAGTTTATCCCTTTTCATAACAAAAGTTGTCTGATCTTATTGTCAGTATAACATTTTATTTGTATAGCACCAAATCATAATATACATTTTCACAAAGCGCTTTACATAGCAAGGTTGAAACCTTCAAAATGATAGAGAAACCCAACAGTTCCCACAATGAGCAAGTACTGTGGAGAGAAAGAAAAGCAGAACCAGACTCAATGTGGGCGTCCATCTGCCTCGACCGCACCAAGAGCTTAACATTCGCACATTTTTTTTTTTTACATCTGGCTTTGCAAACCTGCTGTTGTTGCTATGTTGTGTTTGCACATGCACATTGATTTGAAAAGTCTGCAAGCAGACATAACTAGAATTTTCTTATAGAGGCCATATCTCTGCCAAGTCCAACAGTCCCCTTATGAAAACACCAAAGTCCCCCTCATCAGTCCCCTAAACATATCGGATTTTTATTTCCAACAAGATTCACACATTTTTGAGAAATCTATAAAAATGATGAAAAACGCTATATCTTGCAATATTAAGGAAAGTGGGGGAGGGGAATCCTGCCTCAGCCCCCTGATCCGGATCTGCACCAAAATGTAATGAATTCTTCCCTGACCCATACGGAGAGGGGTGAAAATACAACCTTCTTGCCAGAGATAATAAATAACTCATCTCAGACGTCTTTATTTTCATACAGCATGTATATGAATACGAACCAGGGGATGCCTAGAAAGTACAGTAGATAACATCCAGTCAGAAATCTAATACACTGGTTTTGCTCTTGTAAGACCCCTGGGAGCCTGTTTGCTGCTATCTTTGTTCCCACGGTGTTTTAAAGCTGTTTAAAAGCCGCTAAGAGCGAGTCAGAAATATCTGTGTGATCAACAGATTTAGTTTTCTGAACACATGGGCACCATTTGTAGCCGAGGACCACAACATCCTTGTATTTAGACTTTCATGTAATTGTATTTTAGAGTAAAAAGCTTGATATTTTTGTTGCACTTGAGGCCCAGTGGTTCGTAAAAGTCCAAATCACTGTGCCTTGTCAACATTTGAACAGTTGAAAGTTTCCCCCTTTAATGAGGTGTTTATTAGTCTGTTCAGTGTGTTTTGGCAAGCTAATGTACTCAGAGCTTAATGCTGCTTCCTGATATGCAGGTTTGTTTACTCAGGCGTTCAGGAGGCCACTTGGCACAGATTCTTGCTGCTTGGATCTTTGTAAGCAAAACTGTGTGCTGCATTCACCGCTAGCTCTCCTGCACTACTACCAGAATATCACCACCTCTGCATCTTCACCTAAACAAGATTTTTTTCCCTCCTTACAGCAGAGGAAGTAGAGAGGCTGGCCGCCATGCGTTCTGAGTCCTTGCTCTCCGGCAGCCACACCCCGCCCATCCGCCGTCGCAGCAAGTTTGCCACTCTGGGACGTCTCCTGAAGCCGTGGAAGTGGAGGAAGAAGAAGAGTGAGAAGTTCAAGCAGACCTCTGCAGGTATGTAGCTTTTTTTCGTTGAATACATGCATAACAAATAAGCGTTGCAAGTACAGTATACACCCTGAAAGACAGTCAATGCATATCCCTTGGTCAAAAGGAAAATGTATTAAGCTCTTCGTCTCCAGGGTGATTGAAAATGCAGCAAATTGATTCAGCAAAAGTGCAGCGTCGGAGTTTCGTGTTTTGAGGTCTCTTTAGAGTTCTTTTGATCCTGCAGCGCAGCGTTGTCAGGGGCGAGTGAAGGACGTGGCTCTCCTCAGATGTGGCTGTATTTATTTTTCACGGCTGACGGACACATCTTGGATGACTGCTGTCAGCCTGGTGGACAGGAGGGAGGGACTTTGTTGGACAGCTTCTTCTCTGGACGCAGGAGTCTTGCTTTATAGGAGGATGAGCAGTTGCGCACAGAGATCTGAATGTGGTCTGAACAGGACAGGATGTTCTGATTTGAGCCTGTTATTAGATTAGTATTTTCCTGGTGTGAATGAGCTGAATGAATCAGTCTCTTGTCTGGTTTAATCATCTTTGCTGTGACTGCTCTCTCACCGCTGATCTTTTCAGTCTCTTGTGTGATCACAGCGACTAATGTGATTTCTTGTTGTCTCCATCACGTAGCACAAGCACAAAACTTGTATTTGACATTTTGGTTGACTGAACTTTAGCTCTAGTTTCATCCCTAAAGACTATTTTTCACTGCTCAAAAAAACCACTAACACTCACTAATATCAGGCTTTTATCTGTGATGTGAATGGAATGAATCTACATCCACTCCCAGGTCAAATGACTCTGCAGTAGATGTATGTTTTTTTTTCCAGCTTCGGCTCCAGTGATGGAAATCTGCATGAACTCACTAATTTGGTCAGACAGCGAAGTGAGAGCGCCTCAGTTTCTGATGCATTCGTGACATTGAAAACGTGAAAAAGGAGTCATTCACTTTCAGCTGAGTAAAAGACTCTCAAAGTGCTGATGAAATTAATTTCTGAGCATTAGATGTTTGACTTTTGAAGAGTGTGTGAACGATCATGGGAGATGTTGTGCGATTGATGCATTCATGTACGTCCCATGATAACAGCATGCATCCTGTTGTGGTGACGGACAATAATCAAGTGCCGAGCGACAAAAGGCCTTTTTTTCCTGTTACAATGGTTGTAGTTCCCAGTGGAGCTGAGTGGGAAAAGCTCTCCATCGCTTTTGTGATGCACGGTGCTGACGTCTCCAAATAATTATTTTTTCCACTATTGTTTGGTTCCATCCATTTTGATGGCATCAAGGATGATGGGTCAGATTATCTCACTGGAGCAGCCTCGAGTGGAATCTAAGCGTTGTTACCAGCCGCAACAACGAGGCTGGACTTTTGTTTTGCATTGTGAGTCTGTGTTTGTCATCGTGGCGAAATATGAGATCACTATAGTCCCTCTCAGGACGGGATCGCACCATCCACGACACGTGTCAAACATGTTGACGTACTTGCCCACGAGTCCTTAGCGCTACATCATTATTTGAGGAACTCTGTGAGCAACATGTTGACATGTGTCATGGCTGTCGTGTCTCTTTTGTAAGATGGTCTCCTCCAGTTCCTGGTTGAAGGTGATGATGTGCTGTCGTAGCTTGGATGCTCGGGCAGGAGCTTCAGCCGCAGTGACAGCATCGCAACTGTGGCACACACTGTCACATCCATTTCAGAAGGAAGAGTGAGCCCAATTTTTAAAAAAAGACCCAAATAAAGTGGAATGCGGCCTGCATTCATGCAGCAGGCAGCGGAAGAGTAGAAGTCGCACAAAGCGTGAGCAGCCAGTGCAGTAAATTCGACTGACAGGAAGTAGCTCAGGGATTTTAGAACTTTAACAGCTTAGCCAACAGCATTCACAGGAGATTTAAAGCTCCGCTAATCGACATTTTTATATAAACAATCTATTAAAATGGCCACATACACTATGAGTGAATCCAGCAGATGTATGAATATCTAACAGAGTAAAGTGGAGATTTGATCTTTGATGAACTTTTTATAAAATATCTAGCGATAGAAAAAGAGTCTGATATGAAGAAGTAAGTTCTATAAATCTTTGCACATTATCAGACCTTTTTTAGGTTTGTGTCCTTTATTGTGACAGAAACAGGATCGATTCATGTTTGACCGTGTAGCTTCACTATTGATCTGTGATTTTTAAAAATGGGATATTGCAGATGCTGTTGTGCATTTACCCTCATTTTATCAGTCAGTGCTACAACAGCAGTGTATTTATTACGATACTCATTAAAAAAAAAAAAAACTTGTTGTTCCGATACCATCTTTCCCTTCCTGATATAAGGTAAACTACTGACCCTGAATGGATGTGGTGATTGTTGTAAACCCTTTAATAAATCAAATGCATACAGAGGATGAATGTAGTTTGACAATCATAATAGGAAATCAAATATATAAATTCATTACTGCACAACAAGCGCTTCCTGTAAATGTCTACATAGATTAGATTCTCATATTGCAAATGGTCGACCCGGCACTTTCGGAAGTGTCTCCACCTGCCACATATTATAATACTAAACTTGATTTTCTTTCTCAGCTTCTCTGAATTAAATCTCCACGAGGTTTTGTTGGTGTCCACCTGCTGCTCCAACAAACACAGCATTGTTTTAATCATTGTCGTCAAAGACAAAGTCGATACGTGCACAGTCATGATTCCTGCAGCACTGCTGTGATCTTGCGCTCAAACACCCCAATGCACCGTCATCCTGTCTCCACAGTCGTCCGCGGTGCCGTACTGTTGATAACGTTTCCTGTGTCGGTGGGGGAGCAGAGCAGCCACTGGGCATGCAGATGTTGTCGCAGATAATTGGACGCCGAGCACAGTTGAGGATTATCAACACGTTGTGATATGAAGCAGATGAGGGACAGCTCTGGGGGGACTGTACTCTTCACCTCAGGAAGGAACGAGGGGAGGGCCTGACAGTTGGACGTCTTTTCATGCTCGCTGCCTTATTGCAGAGCACGCTGCTATCGGGGAGAGATCTCGCCAGGCAGAGATCCATCAAAAGAGCATGCATGTGGTAGTCTGATGTAATCTTTATTTCTAATCCAATTATTTATTGGACCTCCCCGTGAACAAGTCGTCAAAATGCACTGATCTCAGCGTATATTTGCAAAACTGCCTTTAAAACACCACAGATTCCCCACAGCTCCATCGATTATATATTGTTTGGAGAGGAAGGCAAATCCTGCTGTATGTGTCAAGGCCTGTTTAGCCACATCCGAGCTTCTGATGTGTGAATCTCAATGCTTGAGCTTCTCATTGATGAAAAGACTCCATGAGAAGTTTTAATACAGTTTCGTTTTTTGGTGAGAGATTCGCTTGGTAAAAGCTCCACTCTGAGCTACTGAGCCTCAGGGTTGGTAGGATGTGTTCTGACTATCTGGGTCACTTCAGAGTAGAATATATTTTCTCTCTAAAAAAGAAAAATGCAAGTGTACTGTTCTCAGATCATTACAGGCTATATTTCAGATATGCCAGTTTCATTTAATATGCTCTCAGCTGATGCTCCCTGATGAGTCTAATCTTCTCATCTTAGTGTTGGAGTGTTTGGACCGTGACAACACACGGGCCATGGTGGACTGAACACACGCTGTCCAAAATAGAATGTAGTTGATACATAAGGTTATTTACTGGGCAGCGACTGGTTTTCATACTCTGAGATGAAACATTGCGTCATGTTTTTACATTTTTTGGGTTTGTTTGGTTTAAGTTTTAACCTTAGTTGGATATTTAAAGGAGATGCACACAGGTAACAGACCTTATTGTGAACTGACAGCTGATGATTTACCATCAATCTTAGAAAATGTGCGAAAAAGTGTTTCTTCTTTTTAGTGTACTACTCTCACAGGACCTTCCTGATGAAATCAACATGAAATTCCGCTTCTTGCAATCTATTAGTCAATTGATTAAATATTAATCGCAATGTTATTTTCTATATTTCTTGTTTTAGTTATTTTTTTGCAAGCACAGTTGGTATATTAATTCTTGACATTATGCTCGACTATTTTGCCAACTGTTCTGCCCTTTTTTCAGGTTCACCAATTTCTTTTCTTCTTTGTTTTATGCAAACAATATCAGTCAAATCTCATTAAGGCCTCTTGAGTTAATAGTATTGCGTAACCGCGCACATCCCATGGCAGTTATGTCACAAAGCTTTGAGTAATTACTTTTCTTTTTGGATGAAAGGGTTGTATAATCCGTAAACATATTACAGCACTGCCAGTATGAAGTTTACCTGTAACCTTGTGTATCCCCACTTTCTGTTTTGCAGAGAGTTTTGACCTTTTTGTTTTACTTTTGTTGGCTTTTCTATTTAATTTGACAGAGACAGTATAGAGTGAGAGGGTAGAGAGGGGATAAGGTGAAGCGTCCAGGCTGGATTTGAAACCAGGCCGCTGCAGCCAGGACTCTTGTTAGTTGTAGGTGGTGTCCTATAGATGAGCAACCAGGACATAGTTTTGAGTAAAGTTATGTTTGTCAACCGAAAGACCTTTTAGATTAGTCAAGTTTATTTACATACCACATTTAAAAAAAAAAAACACTGTTCACCAAAGTGTGCTGTCCGACAAATGAAGACACGATGCAAATTACAAGAAAAGCATACAATTCGACTAGAATAACATAATACAATAAAGTAAAATGAAATAGAATAAGATAAAAATCCTATGATGTGGATCAAAACAACTTAAGAACACTGTGAGAACCTGAGTCTAAAGTCTCAATAGTGGACTTTTCCAAAGCTTTGGAGCAGCTTGATCAATATTCTGGGCTGTGATTTGACCTGAAAGCTGAGCCTGCACAGGTGAAAGTGAAATGGGAGGCGCCTGCCTGCCTCATAATTCCTGTGGTGCATTTGGGGAAACAATTTAATGAACTATCTGCTTTTACTCTCCATCAGAAAAAAACATCCACATGACACACGATTCTATAGGTCAATTCTTTCAAGTCTATTTATTTACTATCCCCTTGATGTACCGGACCTAATGTTATATTTACAGCCTCTAGGGGGAAAATCACTTTTTGGTTGAAGCTGCCAACATTAACATCCCAAGTAGAAATGGCCACAGTTGCCTTTCATTTCTTCAGTTTACCACTTCCTCAGGCCACAATGGAGATAATTCTTTGTGTGACGTATTGGTGATATTTTGTATTTTTCTGTTTAGCTGCTTATATAATTCCTGCCTTGGAGCTGATCTCAAACAGGCTTTTGACTTTTGAAGTGTAGTGTGATATTGAGCATCTGGTGTCCTGGAGGAACTCCCTAATGGAGCCAGCCGTTTGATGATTGCTCTGCTGGGGTATTTTTGAATAGAGAAGCAATGAAGTTTCCGGAGTTCTGCTCAGGAGGCTTGTCCGTCTGTTGTTTGTATGCGGCTCAATTGTGTATTTTTTATTTCCAAGCTCCTAGCAGTTGTTTTTAAATGATCTGTGTTGTGACTAAGGGCAAGGAGACAAGAGCTCAAGCAGTCAGTGTTTTCATGAATCCTCACTGAGGACGTATTGGTGTTTGAACACATGGTGGCTGCCTGACAGAGCTGGGACAGGACTCCTGGGTCATGTGTAAAGCACACAGGAGCTGCTGTAGGGGGCCATGCAGGGACACTCCTGCATCGTGCTGCTGCTCATCCTTATTTCACGTTCTTAATTGGTTTCTGTGCAGTGGTAGATTGTGAAATTACTAATGTGAACTTTTTTTTTTTTTTTTGCTGGTTTTGTTCAGCCTATGCTGATAAAAGATGATAAAGTGCCTCAGCTTTTGAAGCCTAAAAATAGAAGCTGACAGTAGCTGTGGGACATGCAATCTTGTGCATAATGCATCACTATGAGATGCTGGAATATTTCCATTATCCTTTTACCTCGTGTAAATCAAGGCCCCATGTCTTTGAGCTTTAAGGGAGAGGAGCCGCAGTTGGACAGATCTTTATCTTTAGAGCAAAATCCACAATTTCAAGCTTCAGCTCTTTAAAGAAAGAAGATTTTAGGATTTGTCCCCCTAAAAAAACACATGATGAAATAGATAATATTGCAAATATGCCCACGTGACCCAAAACAATATTACTAAAGATTTATTGAAATATGAATAAGTAAGTAAAGAATATATTTACAGTTAAAAGATCAAGATACAAATTTTCGTATCAGTTGATATTGATAATCATTATAATAAATGTCACCTGATTAGTAGACCATTATAACGCTTAATAATGAAAAGCTGTTCCTATGGACCCATGAGATTTATTAGTTGTTGGCTCTTAAAGCTGACTGATATGGCCAAAAATGGCATCAAGATAAAAATCATATCTATCTTAATTACCAGTGATGAAAATTGTATTTTGATATGTTTCTGATAACAAACCAAAAGGCTATTGGTGCATCTGGAGGGAAAATATGAATATTTAAATGTGTCTGTGTGATTTAGCGTCTGGTTTTATCCAAAATCAAACAAAGCTGTCTGATATTTAAATGGATGCCCATTTATAATGTGAAAATAATTTCCACATTCTCTTCCCCTCAGCGCTGGAGAGGAAAATGTCCATGCGCCAGAGCCGAGACGAGCTGATCAAGAGAGGAGTGCTGAAGGAGATCTTTGAAAAAGGTGAGCTGGTATTTCAGTGCGAGTGGAATCTGGCTCGGGTGCAAAGTTAGACATGATGATGCTCTTAATGAGAAGATCTTCACTTATTCATCACCTCATTAATCACTCCAGCACAGTCTCTGAAGTGCACGCTGCGAGATTTGGCACGGGGGGGCATTCTGAGATATAATCTTTCATTATAGATATTTTGTAGCATTTTATACATTTCTTTTGATCTCGACTTGACGCGTCTTAGATGTCCTGCACTCAGAGTCTGACAGCGGGGTGCTCCATGCACCAGCACATCAAAAACAAAGTTAGTGAAGCTGAGGAAGTTCACTCCCTCCTGCCAACATCTGATGAGAGCAAATGAGAAATTCTGTCTTCTTTTATTGGTTATTTTTAATTTTCAGCAGATTAAGCTTCTTGGACAATGATCAAAATGCTATTTGAAGTCAAAGCTGAAACGAAGCTCTAAAAATATGAATAATTTAAGAAATTATAAAATCATATTAATAGAATGATAACTGTGATAAGTCTCTTAAAGAACTCGTGTGCACCTCGATGTGGTCCAGCTCTTGTTAATTGTCCAATAGTAATAAAGTGAATGGCTCCTTCTCTAATTTCTGCAGAATAACTGTGTCACTTCTCAGAAACCATATTAATGAGGCCAGGTGTTCCCAATTCTCCTGCCCAGTGACAACCTACTTTCTATAATGAAAAAAAAAAACTTGTGTGCACAGCTTGATAGATTAGCAACAGCTATTTTTATACATGCAAAACAAACATGTACCATCTCCCAGGAAGCCGTATCGTGTTAACATCACCCTGATAAGTAGAACCAAAGCAGATTCTGCTCTGGCATGCTCGGAAAAGAAATAGATCCAGTATGAGCAAACAAGAGAATAGAGAACATTTCAAAAGAATTTTGCACAATGGCAAAAATCTGCTTTCTTTCATCAGCGTTTTCCTCTGATTGGCTGCTGGGTCATAATCGGCTTTTACTGGTCACCACATCCGTGTGCCTGGATTGAATGTGGAGAACAGCGGCCAAACACTCCAGTCTCGTTCAGAGTTAAATGTTGGGAGCATTTGCCAAGTGAATGACTGTTAAATCAGAGGTGGCAAAACACACACTTTCCTTTCTCAAGTGAAGTACAGATACTAAACTTCTCAAGTAAAAGTACAGAGATACAATCTCTGAAATGTACTCAAAGTAAAAAGTACCCAGCTAAAGGCCATTTTACTGTATCTCTGCAAAGCAAACTGAAACTCGTGTCACATTAATATAATTTGACTATTTAACAAGAATCACTCTTTCAATAGAGAAAAAACCAAATATTAAAAAGCAAGAAAAGAAGTGTAAGTATTCTTAATTTGAATAAAATAAAAGGGATAAGAAATGTTTTGGTGCTCTGCTTCATCGTGGACGGTATCATCGTTGTCAGGTGTTGGCTGATGCTTGTTTTGTCGACAATTTACGACTTTAACGTCTTTCGTTGATGGCAGAAAAATGTAAACAAATAATTACAAGACTTTCTTATCCTATAAAGAGACTTGCAGGAGTGAGCATTCTTATGGTTAAGTGTTGAAAAGAGACATATTGGAAAGTGGGTGAGCTCACAGTGTAAAAATACATTGTTTGTCAGAATATGTGTGCACACTGTTGGCCTTAAAATGTGATCATGCAAAAACCATCAAATGTCTCAGCACTGTAAAGGATTTAAAAAGCAGAAATGTCTGTCAAACCGTGCGCCTGAAACCGTTTCCTGGTCTGGCGTACGCTGATAAAAGACTCTAGAGTTTTAAACAGTCTTAGCGTTCGGAATCGTCTTCCTCCTCCCCCTCTTATTGTCTCAAAATTTAATACCCTGAGTTCATTTTAAATGTTGTTTGACAGTCTTTTCTTGTGCCGCAGCCCCGACACATTTTCCACACTCGTCAGTTTGTTTGTTTCTTCTCCTCTTTTTCAGCAACCGTTGAATTCCGATCCTCGATGGACGGTGGCATCTGCCCTCAGGAGTCCTCTGTTAAGACATCTATGGTCATGCCGAACAAGAAATCGGTCACCTACCCGAGTGACCTTCAGGACACCCCCCCCAAGCCACCGCTGTACCATAAACAGCCTCCTGCTCTCCCTCCAAAGCCTTTCTCCAGGATCCCCAACCATAGCACAGGTCAGCTGACCACGTTAATGCTCCGCAGCAGGTTGCGTCACTCTAATCTCTTCGCTGTTATATCTTCATTTATTGTATAGTATTTATTGCACGCTATTAATCATTAAACACAAACACTGGAGTTTATTGCACTGCTTCAGGCTGTCAATATAACTAATATGCTCATACTGGGGCACTTGTTTTGACAGCCAAGCCCTGACTGCTTTTGCTTTAAAGCCTACCTGCTATGCCACACATGTGCACAGGATTATAGTAGTCTCATTAAATTCCCCTGTGGTTAGGTCAGCCGGGCTCTCACTGTCATTGTCAATCTGTCAGCACAGGGAAGTGGCATTACCCTGGCCTAATTCCCACCACTCTGCGCTGAAGTCTGAGCCATGTCTGATGGTCCATGAGCTCTGTTTATCTGTCTGCACCAGCAGAGTGCAGTGAACGCGTCACATCCCAGTAGAAATATTCAGTAATCCCTCTTAACCTCCTGTTTATGCTTGATTTTTTTTTTTCCCCTGTTAGATTCTTGCCAGCCAATGAAGTTGCTCTGCATGCCCGGAGGAAAGCACTCTCCACCTCTGCCGCCCAAGAAAGTGATGATTTGCGTGCCTCCTGGGGGGCTGGACTCCTCGGCCTCCCCATCCCCTTCGCCCAATCCCCTCAGCGCTCTCCAAAAGTGTGCCCCTCCGCAGGGCATGTCTCTCCACCACGGCTCCCTGCTGCCCTCGCAGCTCATCGGTCTGTCCAGCCTCCACCAGAGCCACGGCCACCCGCTCCAGCTGCAGTACGGCAGCTTGCACGCCCCCAGCCGCATCATCGAGGAGCTCAATAAAACCCTGGCGCTTTCCATGCAGAGGTTTGAAAGGTTGGTCCGCCGTCAGGGCTCGGGTCATTTAAGTGTGACTGTCCTCCAGTGGAGTCACAGGGATTATGGATCGCCGTCTGTCTGCATCTCGCTCACAATATCTCAGTCGAAATAAAGTTGAGAAACAAGTGTTGAAAACTACAACTCAGTAGAGTGCGTACCTATGCCAAGGCCCAACAGTCCCCTTATGAAACCATATTTATATCTTCTAGATCACTAGATTTTTATCTGGATCCGTAGCAAACTGCACACACACTATCAGTCCCCTTAATATCGCAGATTTTTGAATTATTCTCTGAGAAATCAAGGAAAATGTCAAAAAATAAGAAAGATTCACAACAAAGTTGAATAGGTTCTTCTCTGACGCATTCATCAAACTGCCACCAAGTTTTGTGTTAATCCATCCTGTAGTTTTTGCTTAATCCTGCTAACAAAAAGACAAACAAACAAACAAACACATTGCCTCCTTGGTGCAGGTAACTATACCAATAAAACATCTAGGCCACAGGGTTGACTGGTGACAACATGTTTCCCTTTTTAAAATGTGCTTTTCCTTTATTTCATGAGCCTGCGGTTGTTATAATAAAATTCCTCCCTTGTTATTTAAGCTGTTGCCAAAACAGCACTAATCAGAGTACTTACTGAAATAAGTGCATTACAATTAGCATAGATCATCATCCTGTTTATTAGCTTTTATTTTAGTGGCGACTTATTTCCACTACCTTCAAATCTGTCCCGGTGTTATTGAGGTCACGTCCCGCCATGTAGCGCTGGCGTTCAGGTCTAATTTAAGTCCGCTGCCTCACAGGGCAGCGTTGGCCTGATTTTCGAAGTAAAATGTGTGTATGTGTGGGCACAGGCACACGGAGTAGGTGTCCCTGCAGCAGTGTGCCTGACACAACATGACCAGCTGCTCTCTACAAGAGCTGCGCTTCTTCTTGTTTGGAAAGAGAAATAAAAGGGGGGGACGGGATAGCGGATTGAACATCATTATGTAACCTCTTGCATTAGGATCTCTTTCTCACCAAAGCCATTTGGGCAGGGATAAGGAAGTAATGGTCCTGACGTGGCTCCCAATTAGTCTGAAAGCTCGAAGCGGTTACGTAACAGTGGCTCATCATAAGATGCTCCAGCTAGACTCGCTGTGATTAATCAATCTATCGAATGTGGTTAAAAGTTGCATGTAAATAGCTCTGCATAGTCAAGTGTGTTGCCATCACCTTTTTAAATTATACACGTTGTATAATCAGTCACTCTCTTTCTCAGTGCAGCTCAAATGATTGCATGGCATTGTGTAGGACTGCACATAAGTGTAGTGTGTATTCATATCGCCCCTCTCTTCTTTATACTTAAATACCTTTTCTGGATCAAGAAGATTTGTCAGGGTTATTATTTAAGTAACAATTCATTAATGACGTTTTCAGAATGTTAAGATGACACAAAACACCAAGTGACGAGGAGTGTAAAAGAAACATTGAATACGTTATGAAACTGTGGTGGGACAAATTAGAATACAGTCTAGATAATTAATTAAGGATTCTCTGAGATGGAAGATGGGTTTTTGCCTCCACTTGTCAGCTCATCCTCCAGCAAGGCCAAATGTATATCCTTAATTATGACCCATCACATTAATACTCCAACAAACACCTCTCCTCGTAACTCCCCCAGCTCTGCGTTGCACGGCGGCGGTCAGTGTCTGCCCCTGGACAGAAGAGAAGTGCCGTCTGTGATTATCGACTACGAGGACGACAAGGAGAACATGCCCAACGAGTCAGACTACGAAGATCTGCCCAGCATGTACAAGGACGAGGATGACGAGGTGGATGACGACGAGGACGACGACGAGGATGACGACTCCATATTTACAAGTGAGTGGCTGCAGTTGTGGTGACCTTGAGTTTAAAGGTCACAAACAGTGAGGACGTTAGTTTCGGTAGTTTCATCAAAGATCATTTAATGAATTAAACGTCTCAACTCTGTCCCATTTAATGAATTAAACGTCTCAACTCTGTCCCATTATGTCTAAGGTTGGACTGAACATTAAATAATGTGATCAGGATTGTTTGTCGTGGGAAACTAAAATGTTTTGTTTTACTTTAGCACCTCACCTAGAGTTATTTTCATACTGTATATACAGAGGTGATGAGACGATTGCCCCCTGGTGGCTGGCTTCAGTGTACTTCATAAATCTGTCCTCGTCCATATTAATGGATGGGAGGTGGATGATAAGTTCAGTTTTAATTATTTAATATTATTAAATAAAAAAAATTGATGTCATAAAATTGTGTGAAATGTCAACAAGATCTCGCTACTGTGGTTCCATCCCCCGATCGCTACTACACAGACTCTAGCTCCAAATGCACAAGATGGCAGCGTTCGTATCCAGGATAATTTGGCTTTATTTCTGAATAGTATCTCTTTATATACAGTCGATGGTTATTCTCTTCATCAAAGGTGAAGGCAGATTGTGATAATTATCTTTGACTGTCGGTGTGCGACAGCTTGCATCTACAGATCTAATGACACATTTGCTTGACTAATCATTTCAACAGCTGTGAGATTCACCTGAAGGCTCCTGGAGCTGAGAATTAGTTTGACCTTCAGCACAGGGCCAGAATTAGGTTCACAGATGTGTCTCCAGAATCACCCACAGAAACATGTGTTCTTAGCAAAACCTTTCAGTTATGTAGAGCAGTTAGTGTCGTTGACACTGTGTTTACTTACTTTCACATGGCTGCGTGATGGAGCCTTTAAAGGTTGTGATCGGTCATGAGTGAGAGAGTCATTCAATATGCCACATCATGACCTTACAGGATATTGAAAAGATGAGGAATATCTAAAGGTACACTGAGGTTAAAATGAACTTAAGAGGCAAAAAACAACTATGAAGCACATACAGTATGTGAACAGAAGAGTAACTGAAAGTAAAAGCAAATGTTAAAAAGTGATTAGTGAGATATAGACTGATCCAACAGATGCGTTTTAAGTTGTGATTTGATGGCCGTGTGCATGTTTAGGTACCCTGGCTCAGAAGGTGCTGAGGAAAGACTCCCTGGCCATCAAGCTGAGTAACCGTCCGTCCAAACGAGAGCTGGAGGAGAAAAACATCCTGCCCATGCAGACGGATGAGGAGAGGCTGGAGTCTCGGCAGCAGATTGGCACCAAACTCACAAGGTGAGACACGTACACGCATGCATCTCTGAATACATTTACGCACATGCACAATTTATGGGCCAAATATTTTCATTCAACGACTACCACCGCAGGGAAACGTCCCTCTCTCCTCTCAGCCAAACGCAGCATTTTGTCTTGCTTTTTGCTCACAATGGCCCAATATCCTCCTGTCTGATTAAAGTGTGACGTCGTCAAAGCCGATGCAAATGTCTTTTTAAAAAAAATTTTTTTTATTAAAATCTTTTATATCCTGTCACTTTTTTCCTTCTCAACATCCGATAAGGATAAACGTTTTATCTCGTTAGTACGAGTCTCTGAAATGGAGCTGACCTAATTTCTGCAATGCCTTACCCCCCAGCCCCCCTCCTCTCTCTTTTTTTTTTTTCCTTTCTCTTGTCTTCTCTCTAGCGCGCTCTCACTCTCTCTCCTCTTTCTTCCTCCTGCCTGACTTCCTCCCTCGCTCACTGAATCACCACGGTGATGCATGTGCCAAACTATCTCCACCCGACTCCTCCACATATCGGCACCACACAAGCCACTTCATACCAGCAGTTTACACACACACAAACTCGGCTGGTGTAGTGCGTACGAATCAAAGGCATTTGTATACATGTGTTGACATCATAAACATGAGTCCTAGAAACTGAACACATCAAACAACATGATGTTTTTTCCCTCACAGATCGCAGGCCTCAATTGATTCCGCTTCTCTTTGAAAATGTTCTTTGAACATCATCAGTCCCCACTGTGATTGGAACACAGAGCCTGTTCCCAGAAGGCCGGCCTGCTTACTTGTCATGTTCCCAAATAGTCACCGTGTCCTTTTGCACAGTGTCATCCTACACAAAAAAACCCACCTAATTTCATGCCTTTTTGCCCACAGCATTGTCCCCTGTAATGTTGCTTGTGCCAGGCCAATCAGAATTGATAATGACGATGCTTTTCTAGGACGCACCAACCTCAACATTTTCTCTGTTTGTCCTGATTCACTGGAAACCTCTGGAGACCCTTCCTCTCTGAGAGTTCCAGCTTTTACCCTTGAGAAGGGTGTCTGTCGTTTTGTCTGTGATTTTTACTGCCTTTTTAATATGACTTCATGTTTATGTAGTTTAATGTCTGAAAGAAATAGTGTGACATTTTGAGCAATGCAGTATTCATTCTTGCAGAGCTAGCTAATACTTAAGTATGACTGAATAATAAATACATTCAATTAATACATTAATCTTCATATTAGCTCTTTTATATATTTTTTTATGTGGAAGGTTATTTGTCAGCTCTGTGATAGACCGGTGACTGGGGCACAATGTTAGCTAGGATTGTCTCCAGTCTCCCTATGACTCTCAAGTGTTATAGATGATGGATGGACGGATGAGCTATTTCCTTGTATAACTCCTTTTATATAATCTCTTAATATTCACACTTCTGGTGTGAATATACAGGAAACCAGATAGTCAACAAGGCCGACACTCCTGAAAATAAACCTGGCTAGGGCAGCAACTGCTCAGGAAGGGACATCCAAATGGATCTTTTTGACTAGTGGTACATATTTATTTACAATAGCTGCGTTTTTGCTGACGTGATACTGAAATAATCCTCAGACCGTACTGTCCGGACTAGAACTCCAGTCGGAGAGTCAGTCGGCTGGACGTTTCCTGAGCGATAACCCTCAAGTGGGAGAATAAATGACACAAGAAACGAGATGAGACAAGTTGGGCTGAGCACAGACTTTACTCTGCATACAGCGCTTTCAGGGCAGAGCAGTTTCAGACTATCAGATCTAACCAGATGGAGACAATCATTGATCCAGCGTCTATACACTTAGGTCTTCTGCCGCAGGGTCCTGACACAATGCTATAATAAGAGTCTCCATTTTAAAGCACTTAGAACGACCTTTTCACAGATTGCCTGTGGGTATTTCAATCGTTTTAACCACTTACAAACGGAGGAAACCGGAGATAATCTGCCCAAAATCTCTTCAGATGTTGCATAAAAGAAAAGTGTGATGTCCATTCCATGCGTCTTTGTGTAAATGTGTGTGGTAGGCATAGACTGTATGGTGGTAGGTCTATTTTAGGTGCATGTTAGCAGATATGTGAAAATCTTTCAGTTTGCATTTGAAGGTGTCACAATTGCACTTGCTTTATTCAGCTTCATGTAAGAGCGGAGTCTTCTGGAATTTGTGTTATCATGCAGTCACTCACTTAGAAGAGGTTAGATCATGAGTGGAGTTTTGGGGAATGCCCATGTTTAGCTGTTTTGAGGCAAGAAATGCTAACATTTCATTTATTTAAAAGACTGTGAATATCCGGACTTCAGTGCATGTCACAAAGCAGAACTCTTTCCTTCAATGTTGATTCAATGTTGCTTTGCTCTTCCCTGTGATAATGTGCTGACCATGGATGCATGTTTCTCACCAGGCGCTTGAGTCAGAGGCCCACCGCAGAGGAGCTGGAGCAGAGGAACATCCTCAAGCGTAAGTGTAAGAAAACCTTTTTTTAATACAAATTCAAAAAAAAAAAAAGTTCTTCCTAACCATGCAATGCCTAATTAAAGGCATTGTAGTGGAGCATGGGTCCATGTTTGTAGCAGCCTTTTGTGCATGCAGGCCTCACGTAGCGCAGCCCCGTTGATTTGAGAGGCCTAGTTATGTGAAAGCTACTGACACGCATCTCTCTCTTTATTCCTCCTTGGTCTGCCTTTTCATGTGAGACAGGCAGCAGGGGCTCCCCGAAGAGTCATGTCCAGAGAGATGGGGGTTCGTAGCTCAAACACATGCAGCATCAGAGAAAAGCAGTTCTGTTGCCTGGGACATCACAAAGACAGATTTACCAGCGGTTCCTGCTCTCCCAAAGGCTCCTGCGTGATTGGCACGGCGCAGGAGCAAAACACACATTCTTAACAATTCATGAGTGACGAGTCGTGTCCTTCCCATCACTCAAAACACACACAGTGCCAAGGTTAAACAAACGGGGCTTGACACCAGAATCCAAAACTACAAGTATTACTGTAAACAAATGGTGGGTTCAGCACAAGCACAAATGCAGTTTGACTGCTGAAGCTTTTGCAAACAGGAACAGTGTCCCAGTGTGATTCCTGTTTACTCGTGTCTCTCTTTTTTTACTTGCTGCTCTGATCTGGAGGTTTTTTGTCTGTGTAATTGCTTTGGAATATTTACTGCAACACATGGATGAATTTGGAGATGTAACGCCAGAATTTAATGTGATCTGCTTGCTTCCTCTTTAAAAAATTGCTTTTTTATATTTAAATGGGTCAATCTTTTCATTATAAACATGGACAGAAAAAAGCCCTGGGATGAAAGGAACAAAGCGATCATTCTCCCCTGATACCCATTCCTAATAGTATTAAATAGCCAGGGATGGAAACTATTTTGTTGCTTCAAGAAACTTATCCCGTTTAGTGGGACTCTAATGAGCCACATTATGCAAATAGCGTGTTTGTCCCCCTTTCTGTAATTTCTAAACATTTTCGTAAACAGTCAACTGTTTGCATGTGTCTGCGCTGGCAGAGTATCGACACTAATCCTTTTGATGCTCTGTAGCTCGCAATGAACAAGAGGAAATGGAGGAGAAGAGGGAGATAAAACGAAGGCTAACGCGAAAGGTGAGTCCAAAATGCCTTTGAAGGTGCAAACCCACGCCTGATCTTTAAAGCACGCCAAATTGAAAGACGGTACACAAACACTGTGATAGTGACTCATCGGTGGTGAGAAGAGAAATCTGTTCCAGGACTGATATTAAAGTTCTCAGGTCTCCACCTCCCCCAGGAGACACTGCTGTCCTTGTTGCCCTTGGCCCTTCAGCGTGTTTGTTGCCAAATCTTCGGACCCCACCGGGAGGTGTTGAGCTTGTCCCCGTCACTTTCAATTAAAGTATAACACTTTGTGCTCACCTGCAGACATGCTCAAAATAAAACCGTCCCTCCATTTTATTTAAGGTTATGAACTTAGCAGAACATTTTCCATCAGGAAAATAAAGCATTTTATGATCTTGCTTGTTCTAAAATACCTTAAACAAACGCTGGACCTTATACCTGCAATATAACAAAGTGTCTGGCTCTATTATATAGAGCACATTGTTTATATGAGTTTGTCCTTTGAGTAGATTATTTGTTTATTTCTATCCAGAGAGGGGTTATGATGCACTTATTAACGATTGTCCTTTCCAAGTTCACGGTTCAAGTTATTTTTATTACAGCCACATAGGACAAAACCACTACGGTGAGACGGAAGGTTTAAGATGTTGTACAGGTGATGAAGGTTATTAGGGTAGTAGGCAGTAGTTTTTCTGCACACGTCTACAATACCTTGCATTCGACTTTTATTTTTAGGGTGAATAACCTGTACCAGCAAGTAAAAGAGAAGAACAGATTTGATATAGCAACAATAAAACATTAAAGTACCATCCACATTGAAGCTTACGATTGAAGTTGAATTAGTTTTTGATTGAGAATCTTTCAGAATAGAAGAATTGTTTTGTTTTTTTTTGCATGACATTGTGTGAGGAAATGGGGAAGATGTGCAGGAAAGGGTCGGGTTGGATCCAAACTCTAGATTTCTCTTCTCAGCACTGAGGAGTCATTTTTCAGATTATTACTTGATAGTTTTTCATAATAAGATACAAAGGTTTTAGCATGTGGTTTTTTTCATTAGGATCCTCAATAGTAAATCAGTTCCTTCAGCTGGATATTGCCACACTTACTTATTAATGCAGCCATGGAAGAGAGACACTCGAGTGATCTACTTAACTTTATTTGTGAAATTTAATCTTGTGCACTGACGAGCGTCTGCAAGAACTGAAACGATAATTTGATACTCTGAATTCCCAACAACTGTGATCCTGAGCTCCACTGTGATGCAGCTGCATTGAGACAATAAGAGATGGTTTCGTTTATATGCAACATCTGAGAATGGAGGGAGTTCCTTATCTAATTTTCTGTTGTCCAACTTTTTCCAGCTGAGCCAGAGGCCCACTGTAGAGGAGCTGCGACAGGCCAAAATTCTCATCCGGTTCTGTGACTACGTGGAGGTGTCAGATGCCCAGGACTACGACAGGAGGGCGGATAAGCCCTGGACCCGGCTCACTGCAGCCGACAAGGCCAGTATCACTAACTGAGATAATGTTTAAATATGCTCAAGACGTCTCACCGCCTGCTCTCAAATGTCTTCAAACACAATCGCGCCCCCTGTCTGTGCCTCGTGTGACGCAATTTGCAACGCAGGCAAATAATGGCAGGAGGAAGTGTTCCTCCTCTCTTGTTACGGCGAGGTTCCACGTCAGCTGTTTTATTCCCCTCTGTGAGTAAACACCTCGGAGCGGTCCTGATGCTCAATGCCCAGTGGTCCATGATTCTGACTTTTAATGAGATAGGGTTAGGCTGATTTTTTTACAGACCATATATTCTGCCGTCTCTGATTTTGTTGATGCGTAGCTCTGAACTAGCCAGGTCACACCTGAATGCTCTGGAAAATGACAGGGATTCAGTGTTTTTATTAAGTAACAACCCCCCCCCCCCACATAACAGAGTAATTGGACGAGAAGAGCCTCAGGACTCCCTCATCCCACGATGCTTCTTGGCTGACATCTTTTTTTTTCCCGGTTTCTATCTTCTTACACAGATTAGATTATTGTTTGTTCTCCTGTCACAGAAGCATGGAGACGTCCTCTTGAGTCATGCTGAACTGCATATAAGCAGTGACATCACCTGGCTGGGGATGCTGTCACTCATGGCATTTTAAGAAGGGATGTAGGTTCAGCGCATTTTTGTTTCTTGGGACTTTGACTCATTCTCCTTTTGAGACTCCCTGCAGTTGTTCTGCCCTGGGGCAAGGCACGCGGCACGCACCCTGCACTGCTCTAGTGCTACGTAGATGCCATGATTCACTGGGCATTGTGTTGACCCAAATCTGAATGTGTAGAACTCCATGAATGGGGGGAAAAAATGCTTTGTTTTGTTTTCCAAACATCTTCCTTTAAATGAGATGTTTAAAAGAAACTCTCAGGAGTCGGCGACGCGGAGAGCAGCACCTCAGCCAATACTTACGGGTGAAGTTTCACTTTAAGAGCACTGCTGGCTTTATTTGCAGTGTTTTAACTCTTTTCACACAGAAATATGCGCATCTAACTTTGAGCTTTGGATCAAAAGAACTTCTTAAAACCTAAATATGCACATGTTCTTAAATCCATGGCATTGAGACTTCCTTACAAGCTGTTTACCTCAGCTGACCAGCAACAGACTGTATGGTTTTGTTCTAGCTCTTGAATGTCTCAAGAGGAGGAAACTGAAGGCTGTTGCGTTATGTGAAGAGTATTCAGTGGAATCATTTATGGGCCTTGAGAAGAAGATAAATGATGCATGAAGCATGCTAAAAGGACCGAGTCAGGGCTTCGAGGCTGCAGTTTGCCTACTAAGCCTCGGCTCCCTCTCTCAATCCCCCTTTCTTGTTTGTGCTCTGCAGGCAGCTATTCGCAAAGAACTCAACGATTTCAAGAGCAATGAGATGGAAGTGCACGAGTCAAGTCGCCATTTAACCAGGTAATATGCAGAATCCCTTTATCTGCATGTGACTACGCATGCTTACATATAAAAACATGGCGTGCACATCCAGAGCTGTTTCGGTGCTGCAGGTTTTTGGCCGGTGCAACATGACTGTTTTTAGCTGAAGTGATGAAATTAGATGAAATATTTGAAACAGTCCTTTTCTTTTTTTTGTTGTTGTTGTATGTTTGTACTTTTAGGTTTCACCGACCATAGTAGACCACCACTGTCTCGAGCAGTGCCAGAGTGGCGCTCTCCTCCACTGAGAACCTTAAGTGCTGGACAGTAAAATGGTGCCCGTTTCTACAATAAGGCCATGTCTTCTGAAATGCCTTTTCAAGACCCACACAACTGAGTCGGTACTACACCGCAGGATGCAGACACCCCCTCCTCTATCCACCGTAGTAGCACATAATGACTCCAGTTGTTCAACATCGCCCCTCTGTGGACTTTGCTCGACTGTCTCTCCGAACCTCCTCGCTGAGCTCTGTGGCTGGCACTCAGTTCTGTGGCGGTTCAGACCGCCAGAGTTTTTTTTTTTTTGGCACTCTCGACCACACCTTCGCTTAATCGATGAAACCAGTGGACTTGTCTCAGTGGACGTGTTTTTATCCCGCGCTATTTATTATGCTGTCACTCTGAACTCCTCTCTTCCTCTAAAGGACGACTCTGTGCCAGGAGTTCACCACATCAGCAGAAGATCCATCTTCACTGCACCTGCTGGGAGCTGCTTAGAAAGACACACAGGAGGGAGGGGAGGGGTCCAACATTAAAATCATGTGCAATATGTTTTTGGTTTTTTTCCCCTTCTGCTTTTCCTAGACTATAGCACCTCCTGGAGTCCCCTCTGTGTCATTACCACATAGTCCTGACTTCACTCATAACGTGCTGTTCTCACTGTACCGACAACGTTGTCATCTAATTGCTAACTGTGAATTTGGGAGTCCGGGCGACGCCTGCACTCTCTCCTAATGTACATTTTGTTTATAGTTAAGTGGAAAGATGAAGATTAAGCAAGTTTCATTCAAGTCAGAATATATGAATTGAATTAATGTAAAAATTGCAGCTGGGAGACATATTCTGGTTCCAGTGTGTGTGGAACATTCGTTTTATATTTTGTCAATTTTTAATTGTTTTTTTTTTAATAGAGGCAATTCATTTACATGTTTTACATGTTCCAGCTCTTTGGATAGATACTTTTTTAATATCAGAATACCAAGAGAAAAGCTCACCGCATTATTATCTTTCTTTGTTCGCTGCAGTGTGTTTTAATGATCTTTGCTCATAATGTGCATTGTATTATACACTTTACTTTTATACTCATGTTGTGCAAGTTTTTGACCAAGCAATATCTGCTGTTTGTAGAGTAAAGGTTAAACTGCAGGTGTCCTCCCACCATTTTTTTACTGTGCTTAAATGTCTCACTTCAGGGTTTTCATTTTTCTTTTATACTTTAGGAAAGCTTTATTCAGGAGGATGTTTTTCAGATTTTTTTCTTGATGAATCCACTTAAAAAAAAAACTGCCTCTGCGACAGCGCATTTAATTCTCAAATCTGTCCCAGGACACGATGCATTCTCTTGTCAAAAACACAGATTCTAGTGGATTCAATGAGTCAGGATTTTTAAATTTCTAATGCTAAAAGTTCTTTGCACTTTTAAGAGTTCGGCTTTACAACGGTCACCGTTTCAAGTTCAGGGCCCCTGTGTGTAAAATATTGTTGAATTTCCAGTTTGTCTCTTCACTTTACAAAGTCTTGTTACCTGATCATGTACCAGTACTTCAATGCTCATGAGCTTTACCTACACAGAATACTTTTTATTGTTTTTTTACTGTTTTCCTTTAAAGTTGCAATATTGAAGTGCTTGTTTATCATGAGAACAGTGGGAGAGGTGAGAGACTGTTGGCTTCCTACTTTGATGCATCTGTCTGCAAAGGAAACTTTTAATTTCAAGGTCTCAGCCAGTGATGGATAAATGACCCAATGTGAGAACTGAGAAAATCGTTTTGCACTTTATGGTTTGTATGTGAAGTCGTGTGCGTTTAGTTCTCTTATGAATCAGTGCACCGGTCAGTCTCATGTCATGTTACCACTTTTTTTTAATCTAAATTTATTTGGGTCATCAAATCTCAGAGATTTTGAATCATAATTTTGTTTTTGTTATTGTTTTACACGCTTCTGTTTGATTCCAGCATCATCATGTCATTATTTAAAGTTTTTATCCATAGGTTTAGTACAGTAGGAATGAATTTATACAAAACACACTCCAGTTCTCACATCCAGCTCCAAGAGACGGCCCGAGCCGCTGGGCTGAGCATGACGTTTTCCATTTTGCTGGAATCAAGGAACATGAATTCAGCAATAATCTTGTTTCCTTTTGTATGTCGATGGAGCAAACTGATGCATTTGAAAGTTTTTTTTTTTCATTTTTGAAATACAGAACACCATGTAAAGGATACATCATGCCAATTAAATTCCATCTCTGAATGCACTTGTATCGTATGCATCATTTCTTAGGGATATTTGAATAACATCCCAGTTCAAGTCTTCCATCTTGTAGCCATTTTGACAGAAACTTGTAGAGAGAAACGGTAGTTGTCCCAAAATTTTACTCTGAATCCAATTTAAATAGTGTAATAACATTAAATTTTGCTCGTACAGTATTTCAACCTCTTAAAAATTCAGCTGCCTGCAAGCACCTCACAGAAATGTGTTATTTAAATTATTAGGGGAACACCTTTAGGGTTGGACCATAAGGACGCTACTTAGGCATACTTGATGGACAAGGTTGTGCCATTAAATCAGGAAAGGCATGGTACTAGTAAATAAATGGCACATCAAAAAAATGGCATGGCATTTAGGAATTAAAGACATGAATGAAATTGTACATTCATCATCAAATAATAAACCCTGCATTGGCTGAACCCATTGAGCAACATATTGTCTGTACCAGTTGTTAAAGTACTTGGTCACACTTCCCCATCTTAGGTATAATATTTTATAGAACAAAAATGCTAATTCAGTTATTAATAAATATGTTCTCTAACGCAAAGGATGTGAAACCGCTTGAAACTCAAAAGAACATTCTCTGTGTAAGAACATAATGGTTCCAGTTATTTTCATATGGAATTCATTTGAAAATTACAAGCACAAAACGAGCTGCATCACAAGATACTCAGTATTAAAACTGGCGTCTTGCCATCTTTATGCCAAATTCTGCCACGTTCACATGCAAAAGCTGAGGTTGAAATAGGAAAACAAAGTTCATTGTTTCAAATAAAAGTCCTGAGAACGATTGTGAATTAAAATGGTATCGGCATAGTGCTGTGTTTTACAAAATGTATCAGGAAAACAATAGTTAGTGTATTTGTTTCTAGTTTTAGTTAAATCTATAAATCAATGTGATTGATGCTGTCTTTCTGTTATCTATTAATGCATGTGACGGTGACAGTTTAGAGCTTAGATCATTTCTCACACTCATTATTTGCAGGACCACCCCAGAAATCTATCAACTTGTTACTTACAAAAACTTGTATTAACACATCACCCCCATTATCGCCTCATTGCACCGGCTCCCTGTCCCACTCAGAACTGATTTAAAAGTGTCATTGCTGGTTTTTAAATCTCTTAGTGGCATTGCCCCGTCTCATCATCATCACTGACCTTCTGATCTCGTACATACCTGCTCGTGATCTCAGGTCCATCTTGGTTCCCAGGGTAAGGCGTGCAACTGTAAGGGCTCCACGACTATGGAACAACCTTCAACAAGCTACCTCGTCCTCTTTTAAATCTCCTTTCAATACCCATTTTTATAACACAGCTTTTATTTAGATTCCTTATGTCATTGCGTATATGTCATTTGTCTTTGTCTATGTTTGTGAAGCACTTTGTTAATGGTATAGTGTGTAGAATTTTGTGATATCTAGTGTTGAAGTTGCATGTTGCAGCTGAACTGCCCCTCACCTCACCCTCTCCTTCTAAACATGAAAAAGAACCTGTGGTAGACTTCAGTTGTCATAAAAACTCAAAAGTTGTTCAGTTTGTTCAGTGTGGACTCATGTAAAAAACATGGCGACCTCCGTAGAGAGGGTCTCCTCCATGTAAATATAAAGTATTTAAGTATAAAGGGTCTTTTCTGTTGTAAAGAAAAGTACAATTCATACAATTTAGATGAAACGAACTAGTGAAAACATAATGAGGATTATTCTACATTAAATGTCTGCCAATAGTTCCCTTTCACCTAAATCTTACACACTGGACCTTTAACAGTTATTGAACAATCAGGCGAAGGTGAAGTGGTGCGAGGCCTTCCGGGGGGAGGGGAGGGGGATGTCACCTCCGGACACTAGATGGCGCTAAACACAAGAGAACCAGTGTGTGCGGTGTCCTTGTGAAATGGCGTCCTGATGAGATGGTGCTCAAGTTATTTGCCTCGTCACCGCTCGACTAAAAATAAATGGACCCGCAGGGAAGCATCATTCCTCCACACTACGGAATCTGAAGTATTTTATTTTGACCTCACTTTGTCATAATTAGTGTCTGTTTGTTTTGGTCACTGTTGAATGTGCTGTGTATTTTTTTTTTTTTTATTCTTTTAACACTTTCTCCATCCGTCCAGCGGAGGAACCACCGCAGCTCCAAAACATTTCAACACGAGCCGTGTTTACTCCCGTCGTCTGCTCGGCCGCCTCACGGGAAATGTAGTCCGGCCACCGCTCTCCCTCCTCCTGACTGGCAGCGGCTGCGCACTACACTTCCCACAAACCACCGCGTTGTTGTCGGCGACCCCCATCTTGTGTCGTCCTCATGAATATATATCAGGCGGCATTTGCGTAGGAGGTCGGCCGACGTTCATTTCATATTCCGGCGCTGTATTCTGCTCCAAGCGGGACGCGCCGCACGTCTCCGCCCCGATCCGTCCCCGCACGCCCTGCCCAGCCTCTTCCGAGAGAATCTCATCGGTAACATGGTTTTTTTTTCTCCCCACCTCCCCGGAGCAGCGGAGGAGACTCAGACAGGGAAAGCGAAGGCGAGAAGTGAATGACTACCAGCGGGATAAGTCAGCCACACCGCCCCTTCGGCGGACATTCAGCGAGGCGGGTTCGTATCCTGGCTTTTAAATGTAGTAGTAGGTGTAACCGAGTGCGCACCGTTATTTACCCTGAGCGGGACAGAGATGGAAAGTGTGCAGGCTGCCGCTGAGGACGCGTCGGATGGAGGCGCGGCGAAGTTCATGAAGAAGCCCAGCGCACTGTCTGTCGCCCGCGGGACTCCGGCGGACGATGGCGGTGGACATTCGGCTCCCTCCCGCGCAGAGGCGAGAAACGGGAACAGCTTCACCCACTCCGCCTCGACCGCGGGATCCAGTGCGTCAGACCGAGCCGTGTTGTCTAATGGCCGGGGCTCGTCCAGCAACTCCAGCTCCCTCCTGTTGAGACGCAGGCGCTTGAAGAGGAACCTCTCCGCCGCAGCTGCAGCCTCCGCCGCCCCGGCTGTCACCGCCGCCTGCGGTGCCAAGATGAACTCGGCCCTGTCCTCTGCGTCGCTGCACACCCGGAGTCTGGACAGGAAGACGCTGCTGAAGCACCGGCAGAACATGCAGCTGCAGCCCGCAGATCGCGAGTGGGTGAGGGCAGATCTCCACCGGGGCTCCGTACATGTCCACGACAGACTGACGCCCTCTTATCCCAGGCCGGTCCTTTGCACTATGGACACCACAGCCGGCGAGGTGGCGCTCCGTCTGAGTAAACTCTGCAGTAAGTCGAGCTCCGTTATGCGCATTTTCTGTAAAGACAGCCCCAAGACTGATCAAAATGGCAACTGCAATGTGAAGTATGATTACAGTGATAACCCATGCAAGGTGATGGAAGACTCGAGTATGAAATGCAACCACCTGACCCCCCTGGAATCCACAGATTTAAGGGACCATCCGAGGGACAGGCTGAGGCTGCTGCTCATGGAGAATGCAGATGAGAGGCAAAAGCAACAGGACGTTGATGGAAAACTTTTCACCCCTGACTCAGAGTCGCAAGACATAATAACCTGTTCACTGTCAGATTTGAATTCCAACTCAAACATGGACACCCCCAATGATGATGACGACTCAGAGCACAGGAATGGTGTGGACAGCTATGGACTAAATTCTGGCTCAGATGTGGAGAGCAGTGCATTCGATGACCTGAGCTCCGGGGCCCGGCTCAGCGAGCACAGGGACTCCCTCAGTGATGACATGATCCTGGGCACTGAGGCATCCATCCTCAGCCCTACGTTTGACAGCGCCACAGAGGGCCACGACATGTATGGCAGCTCCTCGGACGAACTGGAGCTCGACTGTCCTGCATCGAGCACAAGCATGGACCCCATCTCCCAACATCACAACGGTGGCATCACTGCCAGCTACAAGCAGTGCAACCTGGGACTTTTAAATGACAATGTTGGGCCGGAGAGCAGGCTGAGCCCACACAGCCTGGGCAGCCTGCCAACCAGCAGCAGTGCCGGCTCATTGTCAACAGCCTGTTCTACAGGTAATACACCTGACATCCAACATCCGGACTGTGGCCAAGGCGCTGCAAAACCAGGGCTGTCAGATGACCACAATGGAAATTCCTGTGATTCCAGCCCCACGCTGTATGTGCAGCTGCATGGAGAAGCTGTCAGGAGGCTTAGCCCAGATGAGAGGCCTCTGCAGATCCAGAATGACTTTCTCTTTAAGCTTGGATTTAAGGACCCATGGCGAGTTCAAGAGGAAGGGCTTAACACAGAAATCGGCTCCTTGTTACGTTTTTATGCAGGTAAGAGGAAAGATTCATTCCAATCTAATCACATTCTCTCACCATCAGGTTCATCAAGCTTGTTTTGGGACTTGCTGAGGCCTCCTTTGCACACCACACAGTTTGAACTGCACATGCCCAGTGTTGTAGTGTTAGTAACAGGTTGTCAACTTTCATCACAGAAAAAGACAGGTGCATTCATATATTCTACTAATAACCTCACAATTAATTCCCCTTTTCACACATTATTTCTACTCATTCTCTGCTGTCAGGGAAGGTGAGTGCAGCACTGGACCGTGTGATGGTTTATGAACAGGTCACAGAGAGGTCACGGTCCAAAGTCTTTTGCCTTGCCAGATCCACCTTGCCTCAGGGACTTCCTTTTAATTTCCAGATCGGTGTTTTGTTTGTTTGTTTGTTTCTTCCGGCCTTGTCTGTTCTATTGGACCATAGCAGCACACTGTGCTCCCATGGACACGCATGACATCGCTACAAAGCCATCACTGCAACTTATGGTGCTCAGACATGGGGCCCTTTCCGGCTTTTGCCCCATTATCATCCTAATGAAAAGGCTGAATGCCTTTGTGGTTGGGTGGAGAGTAGGGGTGGGAGCGGTATGGCCGGGAGGACCATAAACCCTCTCTGTGGACCCAGTGAGTTCTGGTCATTGAGATGCTGCACAGTGCCTGTCCTAATGGCGTCCAGCTCGGCCTCTGTCACACTAACTAACAGCCTGCCAAGCTGGTTTAACGTGCTCCTCCAAAGCTCAGGAAGCCCTTTTCTTCACCACGCCACCGCCCCCACCACTTATGCTATTGCTGTCACCACTGAGGCAAGTGTTTTGGTGGTGGTGGTGGGGGGGGGTCTGGTGACGACAGTTGCGCAGAGACAGTCTGTTGGTTGTGAAGTATTCTCACGTTCACAGTCACACACGCCTCGTAACCTATTGTCCTCTTGAAATACTGAGTTGCATGAGGTGCTACAGGAACGGTTTCATTGAGATATTTAGTTATGTGGCGGGTTGCAGACTGGGGCTGGATGTGAATGGATGTGTATTTAGGGAAAAATCACGAATGAAACTTAGTCTGTGCAGTCAGCTGAGCTCAACAAGCAGCAGCAACCGTTCCGGAAGCCGCTGTGAGGGCAACGCCTCCAAATCCCATGTGAGACAGCTTAACTGTGGTCACCTGAGCTCTCCTCAGCCAATGACGCCATTCAACAGCACGCAGGCTGAGAAGAGAAGTCATTCTCATTTTGCTACATGGAGGACACTGAAGAGCACACATACACTTACACATAAAACACTCACTGTAAAAGGAAAGTGCAGCTGACACGTGTGGCCTGCTCTTCTGTAATTTCCTTACACGAGTGAAGCATGTGAGGAATGTACGCTGGCTCCCCTAGAATGTCAGGCACGTCTGCTGAGGAGGAAGTGGAGCGAGGGGGGTTGGGGGTGTGTTTGGGCGAGGGGGATACCATGCCGACACATGTTGAGCTGAATTTGAATGGTTTCCCTGCTCAGATAGTGGAGATGGGGCCAGCCTCAGCTGACTCGCTGGCCGACGCTCAGCCGCAGCTGCCACAACTGTAGACCTCAGTCACACTGAGGGCCTTTTTGTCTGCATGCCTGTGCATGCACAGTGGCCTTTGATACAGGAGGTCCAGTATCCAAACCCTATTTTATGGCTCAGTTTCTCAGAAAGAGCAATTTGCCGATTTAATGGTTACCTAGATATGAAGCACACAAGCGGCCAATAAATGCTACTGTGTCTTTAATAAAATAGGCAGATGAGGCGTTCAGCACGCGGCGGGATCAGTGAAGCGGGAGGAGGATGGGAGGAGGCCATTAAGGCGAGGAGTTGCTGCGGTGCATCTTGGCGGATCCTTTGGGCCAATTTAACTTTGAAGGGTTCAGGTCGTACTTTGACTGCACAGACTTTGCGGTGGCCAGATGAGAAAAGTTGCTTTGCTGTGCTTGACACACACACACACACACACACACACACACACACACACACACACACACACACACACNACACACACACACACACACACACACACACACACATGTACAGAAGGCTGCCTAGTTCAAAGGGCCGCTGTCCTCTTTGGCAGCCTGACGAGTGATCCTTTCAGAGCTGCCCACACAGGAGCCTCTTGTCATGCTTAGCCAGCTTTATTAGAGTTTTGGGAAAAGGGTAAAAAAAAACATACACTGAGTCAAATAATCAATACTTGCACATTCTGCTGCTGACAAGCCATTTGTACACGCCATTGCTATAAATAAAAGTATTGTACTCCAAGAGAGTTGGATTTGACAGGTTTTTTGATGATTTAATTGTCCATTCCAGTGAAAGTATAGGGTTCAGACCAGTGTTACTTCTTCTCTGAGGACAGGAGATCTTCATTCCTAGATGTAATGAAGGTCCCTTACCCAGAGGTTGTTGTTTGTGTGCAGACTAACAAGAAAAGGAAAGCATACTGAACCCTAACACACACTGGCACAGGGTTTCCCTAGAGGCGGTGGACCTGGAGATCTTAAGCAAATCAAAGCAGGGCAGTAAATTATTTAGAATCATTACCCTACTCAGCTTTGCAAACACTCTTCATCCACGCACTTCAGCTCATTGTGAACTCTCCACTCACCCTATTAACGTTGAGATGTTTTCTTTTTAAAAGCAGCATCTTGTAAATCCAAAGCAGTGTTAAGATTTCGGCCTGTTTTATGAGGGAAATTAATGACCACTGGCGTATGCTGGCTGAGAAACTATCAATGCTTTAATTCCTTTCAGCTCGGCACAAGTTTATAGGTTGAGCTCCTGTGAAACAAAGTTGGGCTTAGTAACGGTTTCATCAAACATCACCCAATTTCAAGTAATTCTCAGGTTGTTTTCCGTATTTGCCAGCAAGGTGAACTTGGCAGGAAGAACTGTTCATGCAGAACTAATAACAGCAGAGATGTGTGGAGAATCATATGCATTTACCTTCTTACACATTTTTATGACCATACATTTATGGTATAAAGAATTATAACTTTTATAATTGTTGTGATCTAGATTAGTAACGGGAATATTGCTTTTTTCTTCAAAATACCATTATACACTGCACATTTCGAAAGGACTTTTCTCTGCACGGATGCTCAGGGTTGAAAGCAAGATCACACAAAAACACCTAAATTGATTTCCATATAACTTGGTGGAAGGAGTGCGGTGTGGGTCAGGGAGGAACACATTAAATTTTAGTGCAGATCGAAGTTTGTTTGTTCCACTTTCTTCGACATTGCGAGAAAAGTAGTTTTTTTTCCTGTTGGAAAAAAAATCAGGCACATTTATGGAACTGAATCTATGAGCGAGCACAATTAGGTCCTGTTTGATTTAAAGGGACTGTGCGCTCTGTTGAACACCATCCTTGTTCTTGCTATTTTACCTCTTGCATCATATTTAAAGAGTTTTTTTTCAAGAGCTGCATCCTCATATTAACTTATGGTCACATGTTCACATCTATCAAAGGTGTCAAATTACAACCAGAAAAATTATCTGAACGGGCACATGCAACAGAAGCAGCTTCTCCTGATATAACAGTCCATTTACCATGTAGACACAAGATGTTAACCTCATAAGAAGACAGTTCAATCACTGTAAAAGTTTCGAGGGATCTCAGTTCAGGGTTGTGTCTTTCCACTCTTACCTCAGGCCTTCTCTGAGGAGGCAGTGGCTTGTGACGTGATGACTTAAACGACTCTGAGGTTTAAAGGCTTAATGAAGCTCCCAGCTTTCTCTAGCTATTAAGCAGAGAGAACCTCTCACTCTGTCTTGTCAGGGCCTAGTCGTTCCCTTTGTATCGTCAGCACGCCAGATTGCTCCCACACTCACTCTTGTGTCTCTATGAAAACATTTTCAAAGGCAGAAGGAGAACAGTCGATTAGTTGCGATTAGTTTTTTTTTTTTTTTACAATTTCTGGGTTTTTTGGGTTTTTATGAACGGCCACTGGTTAGGCCCAGTCATGAATCGCAGTATTCTAGAGTCTCTGTTTCACTTAAATCTGCAAAACATGGCTTTGTTTAACACAACAGCAGCATCTCAACACAAGGCCGCCTCATCCTTTCTCACATCTACTGTATGTCCACGCCTGATAGCTAATGGTTTCTCTAAATGGCCCATTGCTGAGTCATTATGTAATTGTGTAATCAGCTTTCACACGTTCCAGAGCTCAAATCCAATACGCATGTGTCCGTGTGCACTTACATTTTTAGGTTCACTATGTGTGCGCCCGAAATGAAAGCCAGGCAGCAATCAAAGAATGGTTTATATACTTTATTTCATGCCTCTTCACGGTCGGCTCCACATGTAGAAGTGGTGTTAAATGAAATGTGACCATACGCTCAGATTTGAGCTGGATGTGTGTGTGTGTCTGTCTGAGGATTCACTGTGTGTGTGTGTGTCTGCTGAGTGCAGACAGGGAGAGGATGGCGGTGTCAGCTTGTAGCAGTTAAAGCCAAGGGAACTGTTTTCTGTCTAATATAGATTGCCTCGCTGGCTGACATCTTCCCACCCTCCTCTCCTTCCCTCTCACGCTGAATCTTTGTCCCTCTCTCAATTTCTCTCATGATCGATCCCCCTCTCTCTGCTCTCGCTATCTTTCCTTGCATCTCCTCCTCGCTCACACCATCTGACAGCTTCCATTTATCTTCCCATATCTCTTTATCCCTTCATAGCTTATTGCTTCACATTCCAAGAATTACTGGTCATCCTCATAATTATTAAATAGAAAAATTAATAAAAGGTAAAACTCAATTTGAGCTTGGTTAAATTATTCCTACTGGTCTAACACATAAAATCACCATTCCTTTCCGTCCTCAGCTGTGCGTGTTTGTGCTTGTTTTGATGTACAGTTGTGTTTACTTTACGTTCCCCTGTGGAAATAAGTAACAAAAGGAAAAAAAGGAGTATACAATTGAAATTCTCATTGCTTTGAGGGAAGCAGCTGAATCTAGGCCAAACAATGTCATGCTGATATGTCA